CCTGCCACAGCAGGATTGGGCTCAGGCTGGGCAAGTTCAGGCTGGTGGCTCGGCTCTCCCTGCCGGCACAGCCTCACTGCTCTGTCCCCAGATGTGTCCCCCATGGATGCTGTCAGTGCTGGTGCCCAGAAGGACGAGCTGATGCTGCGGATTGTGGTGCGCATGCCGCCCCAGCACATCATCAAGGGGGTAAGTGTGGGGAGCCTGACCTGGCCCAGTGCCTGGCCCTGGGCAGAGGGCAAAGGACGCCTGTCCAGGGCTGGATGTGGTGCTTCAATATGCACACCTGTCCCTTGGCTGCTAGGACCTCAAGCAGCAGGAGTTTTTCCTGGGCTGGACCAAGGTGAGCGGGAAAGTGGATTGGAAGATGCTGGATGAGGCTGTCTGCCAGGTCTTCAAGGTAGGAACACAAGGACCTGTCTTTTGAGAGCATTTTGCACTGTTCCACTGTGTCCAACACTCCTCAGCCCAGGTCCTTACCAGGGTCTTGTGGAGCTGCTCCCTGCCAGCCCTCAGGGACACTGCCAGCCCTGTCCTTGTCCTTGTAGGATTACATCACCAAGATGGATCCTGCTTCCACACTGGGGCTCAGCACCGAGTCTGTCTACGGCTACAGCATCAGCCACATCAAGCGGGTCCTGGACACGGAGCCACCTGAGCTGCCGCTGTGTCGCCGGGGCCTGACCAGCATCGTGGTGACACTCAAAGGTCAGTGTGGCAGGAGGGCTGCCCGTCCTCCCTCTGTCTCGCGGTGCTGGGGGGCGTGAGTGGGACCATCAGCCCTTCCCTGCCGGCAGGCTTGAAGGAGAAGTGCGTGGACAGCCTGGTGTTCGAGACGCTCATCCCCAAGCCCATGATGCAGCACTACATCAGCCTCCTGCTGATGCTCATCCTCTCGGGACCCAGTGGCACCGGCAAGACCTACCTGACCAACCGCCTGGCCGAGTACCTGGTGGAGCGCTCGGGCCGGGACGTCACCGAGGGCATCGTCAGCACCTTCAACATGCACCAGCAGTCCTGCAAGGTGAGGGCACGCAGCACCAGGAGCATCCCTGCTGGCACCCAGCTGTGCCATGGCCCCATGGGTGACGCGTGGCCCCTTCCTTGCAGGACCTGCAGCTGTACCTCTCCAACCTGGCCAACCAGATCGACCGGGAGACGGGCACGGCGGACGTGCCCCTGGTGATCCTCCTGGATGACCTGAGCGAGGCAGGCTCCATCAGTGAGCTGGTCAATGGTGCACTCACCTGCAAGTACCACAAATGGTGAGAGCCCTCCTCAGGGCTCATGGAGATGAGACTGCATGTGTCTGTTGTGCTCAGATCAGCTCTGCTGTGGGTCGGGGGGATTCACGGGTTTTTTTTCTCATGGATCTTGTCTCTCTCTGTCACTCAGCCCCTACATCATTGGGACCACCAACCAGCCTGTGAAGATGACCCCGAACCATGGTCTTCATCTCAGCTTCAGGTAGGAATTGTACATTCCTGGGGATCATCCCTGTAGAGTTGGTAGGGTGCAGAGATCATCACTCCTGCCCCTAGGCAGTTGTGGGTACATGTGCAGTAACTGGAGACCCTGATGAGGACTGAGTCCCAGGCCTGTCCCTGCCATCTGAGAAGGATCTGATGCCCCAACCTTGGGTGCGTGTGGTGTGTGGGTGCCAGGAGTCCCCTCCTGAAGGGTGCTGGGGAGCAGGGCAGCTTGTGTGGAGGCCCAGCCCTCATGCTCTGAGTCTTTCCCCCAGGATGCTGACCTTCTCCAACAACGTGGAGCCAGCCAATGGCTTCCTGGTGCGCTACCTGCGGCGGAAGCTGCTGGAATCGGACACGGACGTCAATGCCAACAAGGAGGAGCTGCTGCGTGTCCTGGACTGGGTGCCCAAGCTCTGGTACCACTTGCACACCTTCCTGGAGAAACACAGCACCTCTGACTTCCTCATCGGTATGGTCTTTTCACACCCCCCCTTCTCTTCCTCTCTCTGCTGGGAGCCCCCAGGGACTGGGGAAGAACTCTCCCAAAGGAGCCTGGGGGGCTGCCCTGTGTCCCCCAGTCCCACGTAACCAAAAGCTGGTGGGTGACACACAAGTGTTGCTCTTCCCTGGGTGACATTTGCCAGTGCGGTAGCAGCCAAGGCTGCCTGTCTTGGTGGCACCTTCCTGGGACAGGCAGGAGCCCTGTGTCCCCAGGCAGGTCTCCCTTCGCCTCACCAGGCTTTTGGGGGGATTGATCAAACACAGCTGCCCTGTTCCTTGCCCAGGAGGTTGTTTTCTGTCTGTGTGTGCCAGGCAGACACTGCCTGGGCACTGCTCCCAGGGGGTGGTTGAGCCCAGGACGCCCTGTGCAGCTGGGCTGGGTGCTGTGCTGCCCTGAGGCTGGTGACTGGAGCAGGGAGGGGACCTCGTTCCCATTTTCACTCTCTGCCTTCCCCCCGCACAGGTCCCTGTTTCTTCCTGTCCTGCCCCATTGGAATTGAGGATTTCCGGACCTGGTTCATCGACCTGTGGAACAACTCCATCATCCCTTACCTGCAGGAGGGGGCAAAAGATGGGCTCAAGGTACCCCAAGCTGCCTGGCACCTGGGGGTGTGGGGCGGTGGTGCCTGGGGACATGCTGATGCAGCAGTTCAATGGGACAGGGAAAGGGGAAGTGATGGCATTTGGGGCATGGGTGGCATCTCTGTCAGCCTGCCCTGTGGCTGCAGCAGGACACAGCACTGTCCTGGGGGGTTGGGGTGTCACGTCACCAGCTCTGAATGTTCACATGCTGAAGAGACTGCTGCTTGCTCCCTGCCTGCAGGTCCATGGGCAGAAGGCAGCCTGGGAGGACCCCGTGGAGTGGGTGCGGGACACCCTGCCCTGGCCGTCAGCACAGCAGGACCAGTCTAAGCTGTACCACCTGCCCCCACCCACCATCGGTCCCCACAGCACCGTTTCCCCACCCGAGGAGCGCACCGTCAAAGACACGACGCCCAGCTCCCTGGACTCAGACCCTCTGGTACGGCCCTGGGCTGTGGGAGGTGGCTGGGGGTGCTGGGGGAGGGGGAGGACAGGATAGAGCTGTGCTTTGCTTCCCCCACCACTTTTCAGTGTGAAAACACTGGATGTGGGGATGCAGAAATGTTTTGTGTTCCTGGGAGGAGCGGTGGTTGTGGGATGGTGCCTCTGGGGAGCATGGGGTGATGGACATAACGTGGCACTCCACAGGCAGCCACACACAGGCTGGGACTGGCACATACCTGTCCTGATGTGTCACCCAGAGGGACCCAGAGCACAGGTTGCCACGGGTGATGGCAGCTGATGTGCCAGGGCCTGTCCCCCTGACCTTCTTGGGCCTGCTCAGCTTTGAGCATCCCAGCTGTGCCCACAGCTGGGTCCTGCTGACAGGGAGAGATTTTTCAGAGTCTCTGGGCTTTGCTTTAGAGTGGCTGGTTTGTACGGGAGGGGAAGAAGGGCCAAGGTGGCCTTGGCCAGGGGGACCCTTTGTCCCCTGGGGCTCAGTGCCGTGTGTCTCTCCCCACAGATGGCCATGCTGCTCAAGCTCCAGGAAGCCGCCAACTACATCGAGTCTCCAGACCGTGAGACCATGGTGGATCCCGACCTGCAGTCGACTCTGTGAGGCCCCGACGTGCCGGGCCAGGCACAGGGGAGCTGCTGCCAGCCCCGCTCCCCCCGGGCTGCTTCCTTTTCCTTTGGTGTCCCGGAGCGCGGGGCTGGGGAGCGAGCGGAGAGGACCGGGGCTCCAGCGGGTCCCGGCAGAGTGTGGGGAAGCTCAGCTCACCCATGGGAGAGCGCGAGGTGACGTCTCCCCTCCCCACCCTGGGGGTAGGAGAATCCTGGTTTCTCTTGGTTTTTTTCTGTCTGTCTTGTAAACTCTGGGGTTTTGGGGCCAGGGTGACCAATGTGGCGGAGCCCCCGCTCCCAGGAGCTGCAGGAAGGGCCCTGCGTGGGGCAGGGACCCCGTGGGAGCCACTTGGGCCAAAGCTGGGGGCACAAGAGGAGCAAGTGGCACAGGATGAGAGTGTGGGTGTGGGGGGCTGCAGGTCCTTCTGCCCCAGCCGGGCACAGCTGAGGGCAGGTGACCGAGCCGTGCCCTGGGAACCACTGGCCTTGCACTGGCCGAGGAGGAGCGCGGCTCTGCCGCTGTCTTTGTACCTTCCTTCTTTCACCTTCATGGCAGCCACTGCCACCAGGACAGCCCAATAAACCCTGCCTTGGTTATTTTATTTTTGTTCCCCCACCCCTCCCATTTTCCTTTGGCTGAGTCCAGACTTTGCTTTGGTCCCTTTTTTTGTTCTGATTCTTCGATCTCCTGGTCTGGAGCCCGTGGCTCGGTACCCACCGCTTCCCCGTGAGCAGCTTCCCTTTCCCTTAGGCTTCTTTTGCAGCTGTTGGTTCCACCACTCAAACCACCTCTGTCACAAAACTGGTGCTCACTGGACAATCTCCAGCCCCTGAACCCACCTCCCACAGCTTGGCTGAGATGGTGCTTGGCAGCTGGTGCCAGCGGGATGCTCCTGGGGCAGTCCCTGGCCTGGCAGCTCATCCCTCCCCAGAAGCACAAGGCAGAGTCTGGCCCTGGGGACAGGGTCTCCTTCCAGGCCAGGGGGCCACAGAGTCTCCCCTCCCCAAGCACCTGGCACTGCCCAGGGCCTGGGTGTGAGGTTGTTGGTGCTGCCTCATCCCTGGGTCCTCTCAGTGCTGGGGGGCACAGTCTGCCCCTGTCCCCTCAGTGTTGTCACGCCTGGGGGTGCAGGTTGGTGAGCTGTGCTGGGGGGTGATCCCTGTGCCTTCCTGTGGCCTGGCAGGATCTCGCTGTGCCCCATGTTGGTGTTCTGGGGCCACCAGGGGCTGCCATGTGTCCTCTTGGCCCTAATGTACAATGTCACCGGCAAGGCTTCTGGCATGGAGAGGATCAGCCCTGGTGCTGCTGTGGTGCCTTAATCCCCACCGTGTGCCCGGGGACACGTGGGGCTTGGGCTGGCACTGCCACAGCCTACTCCGGCTCCAGTGGCCTAGGACTGTCCCTAAAGCCAGCTTGGCTGGGATGGGACAGGGGTGCTGGCACCGACCTCAGCGTAGCATCATTTTGGTTGGGAAACACCTTTAAGATCATGAAGTCCAACCGTTCACCACGGCCAAGCTGGGGCTGGTGCCTTCAGCAGCTCTCGCTTGCCTGTCCCCCTGGGCCAGCACTTCTGCTCCCCTCTGCCCAGGTCCTGCCAGCTCCTGCACCCAGCTGGGGCCCTGGGGAGCCCCTGGGGAGAGGGGACCCCAGCGCATGCTCTGCTGAGCCATTTTGCCCCCTCAGCCCTGCTGTGCTGCAGCTGGTGTGGCCTTCAGGGACACCTCCAATCGCCCCAAGGGCCCCTCCAAGGCCCGGTTGTGCTGCCGGTGCCACCTCTGCCCTTGGTGCTCTCTCGGCTGGTGCGGCGCCCGCGCCCCATGGTGCTCACTTCTTTGTCTGTCCCACAGCTTTTGTCCCCCCTGCTGCTCCCTGGGGCCAGCCAGCCCAGGCCCCTTGGCACAGGGATGTCCTTCCCCACGCTGGCTTGGACACCAGGGCTTTCCCTTTGCCTTCTCTTGTGTTTCCGCTGCCGGCCGAGGACTCGCCCGAGGCCCCACGGGAGCTGGGGGATCCCGGCCCTGCACCCCTCTCCTGGTTTATTTTGTACTCTGTGATAACTTCTGTGCTGTGCTGACTTCTTTTCTGATTGTACAAGACACCGGCTCAGCAGCCGCTCCCGGCCCGGCACCCGCTCGAGGCTGGCGGTGGGAACCCGGTGCTCCCCCCCAGCCCCTCACCCTCCCTGGGGCTCTGGTGCCCATTAAAGGGGCACCACGCACCTGGGGGGCTGCCCCGTGCCCGGCTGCTGCTGTGGCTGTAGAGGGCTAAACACACCCCTCCCTACAGGCAGCCTTGGCTGGGCCCAGTTTTCTTGTCTGACACCCCCATGGAGCCACCAAAACGTTGACCGAAGTGTCCCCGTCACCCGCTGGCTCAGGGCTGCGCTGCCCCCAGCCTGTTCCCTGGGGGTTTGCCCCATCCTCCCCCATAACCTCAGCCCGTGTGTGTGGGGAGTGGGTGGCACATGGGTGTAAATCAGGAGGACCCCCTGGGGGACTGGGAAGGGCAAGGGTGATGCCAGTAGGTGTGCCCAGGGGTGGGGGGGCTTCTGCTGGGCTTACCCGGCTGGGTTCCTCCTGAGTTTACATCCAGCACCCTGTGTCCCCAGGCATGTTAGCTGTCTGGGGGGGCAAGGAACCCCAGCACCATGGGTCCATGATCACACTAACTCATTGCCACACCACCCCCAGGGGTGCCCATCTCCCCCAGAGGTGCCTGTCACCCCCACAAGTAGCCCATCACCTCCCAAGAGGGCTGTTGCCCCCAAAGGTGCCTGCCACCCCCAAGGCTGCCTGTGACTCCCCAAAGGTGCTCTTTGCCCCCAAGGATGCCTGTGACCCCCCCAAAGGTGCTGGTTGCCCCCAAGGGTGCCTGTGACCCTCCAAAGGTGCTGGTTGCCCCCAGTGGTAACCATTACTCACCAAGGGTGTCTGTGACACCCCCAAAGGAGCTCATCACCTCCCAAGGATGCCTGTCACCTCCAAAGGTGCTGGTTGCCCCCAAGGGTACCCCTTGCCCCCCCAAGGATGTCTGTGACCCCCTAAGGAACCTGTCACCCCTCAAGGGTGCTTGCCACCTCCAAAGGTGCCTGTTGCCCCAAGGGTGCCTGTGGCCCCTGTGAGTGGCAGGAGCCCTCCTGAGGGCGGCTGGAGCTGGGAGACACCAGCACCTCACCCTCCTGCCCCCTTGAGCTGCTGCTACCCGGTGGCCTGAACCTTTACAATTTTAGCTTTTTTCTATTAAAAAAACCCACAACAACCTTTTTTAATTAAATAAAAGACAAAATGGACAAATTCCTGTTTTAGATGATCTGTGTAATTGACTGGGTTTTGTGTTTCTTAACTGCATGGTATTCCTGCCGAGGGGTTTTATAGCACTTTTTAAATTTCTCTTTAAGATTTTGGTCCAGATTTCTACTGCTCTTGCCTGTCCGGGCCCGGCTGCTGCTGTGGCTGTAGAGGGCTAAACACGCCCCTCCCTACAGGCAGCCTTGGCTGGGCCCAGTTTTCTTGTCTGACACCCCCATGGAGCCACCAAAACGTTGACCGAAGTGTCCCCGTCACCCGCTGGCTCAGGGCTGCGCTGCCCCCAGCCTGTTCCCTGGGGGTTTGCCCCATCCTCCCCCATAACCTCAGCCCGGGTGTGTGGGGAGTGGGTGGCACATGGGTGTAAATCAGGAGGACCCCCTGGGGGACTGGGAAGGGCAAGGGTGATGCCAGTAGGTGTGCCCAGGGGTGGGGGGGCTTCTGCTGGGCTTACCCGGCTGGGTTCCTCCTGAGTTTACATCCAGCACCCTGTGTCCCCAGGCATGTTAGCTGTCTGGGGGGGAAAGGAACCCCAGCACCATGGGTCCATGATCACACTAACTCATTGCCACACCACCCCCAGGGGTGCCCATCTCCCCCAGAGGTGCCTGTCACCCCCACAAGTAGCCCATCACCTCCCAAGAGGGCTGTTGCCCCCAAAGGTGCCTGCCACCCCCAAGGCTGCCTGTGACTCCCCAAAGGTGCTCTTTGCCCCCAAGGATGCCTGTGACCCCCCCAAAGGTGCTGGTTGCCCCCAAGGGTGCCTGTGACCCTCCAAAGGTGCTGGTTGCCCCCAGTGGTAACCATTACTCACCAAGGGTGTCTGTGACACCCCCAAAGGAGCTCATCACCTCCCAAGGATGCCTGTCACCTCCAAAGGTGCTGGTTGCCCCCAAGGGTACCCCTTGCCCCCCCAAGGATGTCTGTGACCCCCTAAGGAACCTGTCACCCCTCAAGGGTGCTTGCCACCTCCAAAGGTGCCTGTTGCCCCAAGGGTGCCTGTGGCCCCTGTGAGTGGCAGGAGCCCTCCTGAGGGCGGCTGGAGCTGGGAGACACCAGCACCTCACCCTCCTGCCCCCTTGAGCTGCTGCTACCCGGTGGCCTGAACCTTTACAATTTTAGCTTTTTTCTATTAAAAAAACCCACAACAACCTTTTTTAATTAAATAAAAGACAAAATGGACAAATTCCTGTTTTAGATGATCTGTGTAATTGACTGGGTTTTGTGTTTCTTAACTGCATGGTATTCCTGCCGAGGGGTTTTATAGCACTTTTTAAATTTCTCTTTAAGATTTTGGTCCAGATTTCTACTGCTCTTGCCTGTCTTGTCTTTGCTTTTCCCTTGCCTCCAAGTTTGTAAACTCGGTCCATTTTTTATCTGATGTTGAGACCCAACCCCACAATGTACATAGCTGCGGGAACAATCATAGGGAACAAACACCATCTGGACTCTAGCCACGATTTGTCGTTTTTACTTAAAAGAAATTTTCAAGGAAGTATCAAAGGAAGCCAGGAAAAGGCTCGAGAACATTCTGAAAGACAGGAACAAATCCAGCCCTGCACCAAGTCAGCTCCTGCTGCCCTCGCTGCCCGCACCACCCGGCATGTCTCTCTTCTCGGTCGTCTGTCTAACACCATTGGGTTCAATAAAGTTATCTCCTGTACCTCTGGCTGTTGGTCCTGTGTC